GATTCCTCATATTTATAGCTGTGTAAGTGTCCCACAGCTTTTTTATTCATGTACCTACTGATGGTCACTTGGGCTGTTTCCAAGCCTTAGCTATTGTAAATAACACTTTTAAATCTGACTTTTAATTAATATGGTAGAATTATGAATAAGTATTTTTATACATGAATTTAAATTAATTAATATCACTATATGAATTTTCAAATTGTTATACAATGATCAGTTTTAACTTTTATAAGACCAAGTTATTTTTGAAAAGAAAAATAATATTCCCTCTTAAACAGAAACCTTTTCAATTAAATGACTATACTCTATTTTCTGTGTTAGGTAGGACCCACCTTTCTTTTTATAAAACTTTCACTATATCTAACACTGTCCACTCACTACCTTTTCTAAGTAAGACATGTTGGATTGTGTCAGTTTTTCTTCCACAAAGCATCACATGCAAATTGCCTTCAAGTGCTACTGAAACATTCTCCATCCTTCCAGTTCTAACTCAGACAGTCTTTTCCATAAATCATGTCAATCTCTTACCTGGCTTGTCTACAGCCAGAAATTTCTTTTGCAGCTAATAAAGTTAGAAACTGAAATTAAGGATGAGAAATTATTTTTTCTTGTTTCATAAACACTGCAGGACTCTCTAATTATGTTTAATGCAAAACTAATTAAAATAGTGTTGCAAAGACTCACCTCTAATAAAATCATATTGATAACCCTTCTAATGGCTTCAAATATTGACAAAGCTTTTCATATTTATAGAAAATAGACCATTAGCCATTTGTAAAGATACATGCTTAATTTCTATTGATTTTTATTTTTACATGTACACAATAGATAGCCTTGATAAATATGGATTTTATCTAAAACTATTTCAAAAAAACTGAGGCTTAGTTAGGTTTTTTGTTTGTTTGTTTGTATTCATTTTTTACCAAATTAATGAAACTAAAATTTCTGACGAAGAAAATATTAAAGTGATAAAATTTCTTAAAATATATATTTATATCTTATATAATAAAACCCTAATATGCAAATCCACCAAACAGTGGAATGATTGATTGCTATGATGTGCACTGACCAACAGAGAGCAGACGCTCAATGCAGGAGCTGCCCCCTAGTGGTCAGTGCGCTCCCACACGGGGAGCACCAGTCCTCAGTCAGAAGCTGGGCTCAGGGCTGGTGAGTGCAGCAGCAATGGTGGAAGCCTCTCCCACCTATGCAGCAGGTGGATCTCCCCCAAGGGATCCTGGACTTCAAGAGGGTGCAGGCCAGGTTGAGGGACCTCCTGGCCAGTGCACGAAGGTCATGCACTGGGCCTCTAGTAATAATAAAAATCAACACCACTAACATACCATATGCCAGATACTTTTCCAAGTGCTTTATATTTAGGCACTAAAAAACAAACTAGCACTATCAATAAAGTACTGCTATTGTCACCATTTTAAAGATAATGAAACTAAGGTATTAGAGATTGAATAATATTATCAAGGTCAACAGTTAGTAAGGAATGAATCCAATCACTTGGAAAATGATTTTTATAAACTTCCAGTATATTTTATGATTTCTTTATCAAATATATCAATGAGTAAGAAATCAATAATGTAGGAATAATTAAATAAATTGATGATTTATTAATTCTTTGAGAATATCAAACTATTATTTTGACATTGTTGTAGATTCCTTTCAGAGTTGGAGAGTAAGAGAGTAATTTAAAACAAATCAAAGTTTCAAAGAATACCCTAAAGACTCCTTAGTGACACAAACATAATTTATCTGTAGCTTTCTGGGTTCTGAAATTTTGTGTCCATAAATATATTGATTCATGCTTTTGTTATAGAATAATAAGAAGTTAGGGAAATTCCAAGAAAAGAAAAATAGAGAAACTGAAACCTATAGTTAAATAGCAGTTTTTGGCCACCTAGTAAATCCTATCTTCCCTAAACCAAAGATACTTAAGAGTAAATGGTTTGCATTTATTTTCTCCAACCAGAGAATAAATAGCTTAAATCACTCTACTCAGGGAGACAGGTAACAGGAATTCAATCATGTGCCATTTGTATCAACCACACCCAAGGACAGATAAATTAAAAGAATAAATCTTATTTTGGTACATCAGCATAAAGCTGATGAATATTCTATTGATCCACCCCTAAGAACTATCCTAAATGCCCAGCCTTTACAACCCCTGAAAATTAAGGTCCCAGCATGCTCTCCCTGCAGGGACCATGCCTGTGCCATTCTCTTCCCCCTTCCCTTTCCCCACAGCACTTATCTCAGAAGGGAGCCCTTGTATACTATTAATGAAAACGCAGATTGTGCAGCCACTATGGAAAAAAAAGTACGGAGTTTACTTCAAAAATTAAAAATGAAACTTCCTTATGATCAAAGAAACTCAAACTATTAGTTTGAAAGAATATGTGTACCACTATGCTCATTGCAGCATTATTTCCAATAGCCAAAATTTGAAAGCAACACAAGTGTTCATCAATAGATGAGTGAATGAAAATGTGGTGGTACATATATATGGCTGATTATTACTTGGCCATAAAAAAGAATGAAATCTGCCGAAACTGGTTTGGCTCAGTGGATAGAGCGTTGATCTGCGGACTGAAAGGTCCCAAGTTCAATTCCGGTCAAGGGCATGTACATTGGTTGCGGGCACATCCCCAGTTGGGGGGTGTGCAGGAGGCAGCTAGTCGATGTTTCTCTCTCATTGATGTTTCTAGCTCTCTATCCCTCTCTCTTCCTCTCTATAAAAAAATAAATAAAATATATATTTTTTAAAATAGGAATGAAATCTTATCATTTGAGAAAGCATGGATGGACCTAGAGGGTGTTATGCTAGTAAAATAAGTCAGTCAGTGAAAGTCAAGTCCCATGTGATTTCACTTATACTCTATATGGAATCTAAAGAACAAAAGATATGAAGAAACAAAACAAAAATAGTTTCATAGGTACAGATAACAGATTCAAGGTAGTCTAAGGAGAGGGTTTTAGCAGACTCAGTGAAAAAGGGGAAGATATTGAGAAGTATAGATGGGTAGTTACAGAATAGTAACGATAATGTAAAATATAACATAAAAAATACAGTATGTACCATGCCAGGTGGTACTGGAAATACCAGGGGAACACTTTGTAAAGTATGTGATTGTCTAGCCACTTTGCTGTATATCTGAAACTACTATAAAATAATATTGAATGAAAAAAGCAGCCATCAAACTAAATATCTACCTAAAATTAGAAGATATAATAAAGTATAAACATTTTTTCAAATTAAATACCATTAAAATATTGCTGTCAAATTTATAGAAAATTCTAGAGTTTTCAGTGTTTATATTAGAAAAGAAAAATCAAACCTTAACACTGTAAAAGAAAGGATCAAATAAAGTTAAAATTTGGCTTCTTGAAAAGGTAAATGTAAAATTTACCAATATCAACCAAATTTGATAATGGAAAACAGAGAAATAAATCTTATAAATAACATTAGGACAGAAAAAAATACAAAAGATGCAAATATTAAAATAATATTTTAAATGTTATAAAATATTGTACTAAAAACTAAAAATTTGGTGAGATGGGTTTTTAGAATTGTGTAAATTACTAAAACATACTAAAAAACAAAGGTAAAGCTTAATCTTAAACCTATAATAGAATACAGTTTTTAAAATCTTTATACACACACAAAAGTAACACCATACTTAAACATATTCATAGTGTAGCTTGTATAAGATTTTAATAATATAGATAGTATAAAACTTGGAATGAAAGATACACTACTGTCATTATTAATACACTAGAGGCCCAGTGCATGAATTCATGCACTGGTGGAGTCCCTAGGCCTGGCCAGCAATCAGGGTCAATCAGGGCCATCTCACCCAGTCCTGCTGGGGCTGGGCTAACCAGAGCCTCCTGGCCTGGGGGAAGGAAGAGGGGCTGGCCAGGGGCAAGGACTGCAGGAGGTTGGCTGGCTATGGAAGGTTGGGTGTAGGAGCACACTGACCACCAAGGGGCAGCTCCTGTATTGGAAGTCTGCCCCTGATGGTCAGTGCGTGTCATAGTGACTGATCCACTCGTTTCAATCGTTCCAATCAATCAGTCATAATGGCCACTTAGTTTTTTTTTATATATATACGTATATAGATAATAAGATAGCCTGAAATAAATAGGCATTGGTGAGCATATGGAATAAGGGAAACTCTTTCACTTTTGCTGGTAGAAGCATAAACCACATATAATTTATAAATCAAGTAGCAATAAATGATACATTTGAGCACACACATGTCACATAAGCAAGCATAACACTTTATGAGCAGCATTCTCTTGAAGTCTTTAAATGGGCACCATGAGACAAACATACAGATATAGTGTTGTTCAAACTGTTTTATACATCAATAATTTCTCTTGTCAATTTGTGATCATTCCAAAATATAATTTAAAAATCCTGTCTTAAGAGAACACTATCAAGTGCAGACTTCTGTCTTTAAATTTTACCCTGAAAAAGTACTCATTGACAACATTATATAATGGAAATGTCAAAGAACTCGACCATTACAAACTAGTAATGCTATGATAATAAATTGAGAACTATCAATTCTTTATAGACTCTTTAAATGATAATAGAATGCTAGTACTATTTGATATATTCTTAAATTAGAGCATGAGGTACAAAAAATAAAGGGAAATAGAGACCATATATAATGGCAGTTTTTACAAGAAAGTGGGTCTGTACACATTACCCTAGGGCAGTGGTGAGCAAACTCATTAGTCAACAGAGTCAAATATCAACAGCATAATGATTGAAATTTCTTTCGAGAACCAATTTTTTTAAAACTTAAACTAAATAGGTAAGTACATTGTTATTAACTTAATTAGGGTACTCCTAAGCTGGCCTTTGTTAAAAACTCAAGGGGCCAAAGAGCCGCATGTGGCTCGTGAGCCGCAGTTTGCTGACCACTGCCCTAGAGCCGCGGCTGATGACACTTGTGCATCCCAGCGCCTGTGCTTACCAGCTGCTGCCCTTGCACACCCCAGGCTGCGTACTGCAACACGGAGTCCTCTACTTCTGGAGGGTTTAACTCCCAAACTTCCCTTGAAAAAAGGTAGATATTTTTTTACATGAACAAACTGATATCTACATTATTTACATGAACAAACTGACATCTACATTATTTGGACAGTTTCTCATGAAAACCAGAAAAATCAAAGAACTTACCTAGTGTGTATGTTGTAAATCACATATGAAGCAGTATACGAATAATGAAAAATCTGAAATTAAAAGAAAAGTGTTATTGACTATAGCTCAAAATAAAGACTCTATCTTAATGTGTATATGTGTTGTTATTAAATTCCATGGTAGCCAAGTATTGGTTTTAGAGAGAAATCAAAATGTGAACTATTGCAGTTCTGGGGCTCATTACCTTCTTTGAGCCTTACTGCAGTAGCCTTCTAACATTTATCCAACCATCAGTTGCATTTTTATTCAGTCTACTCTCTACTTAGTATAATTGTGATCAGAATTCTATCTTGTCAAGGAAACTGCTGAGTTTGTGGCTGAGACCTTGATGACACACATAATCTCTGGCATCTCCTGGAAACTGCACATACCCTACCACCCACATTCATCAGGTAAGATCCAGAGGAGCACTGGCTTCCTTAAATACTAACTAAACTCTCTCTTTAGAAGTTTGCAGCTCCTCGCCGGACCTTATGCCCATGGTTCAGACCAGAATCCGGGCTACACCAAGGAGCCCCAACTTTTTACATCCCCAAGAATCTTACCTCCCAGGTTTTATTTCAGCTCCAGGCCCAGAAAAGCAGCAAAACCAGACAAGTGATGCTATGGCAACCTCAGGACCAGCCTTTACCTCCCAAGTGACTCAACTGGATTGCTTTCTTTTTCTCTTTATCCCCTTTATCATGCACTGTGTCACCAGTCTTTTGCAGAACAGAATGCAGGCTTTCACCAACCAAAAGGTGGAAGAGAACCTAGCATCAGAACTCTTGAGACTCTGGGTAGACGCCCCTACTGATGCCCCCTCTCAGCTGGAAGTAGCTACAGAAGATGGATCTGCAGGCCCTGAACTTACTGGGACTCTCATTTTTTTTTAATATATCAAAAAGACTGATATGTGAAATCCTCCCTCCCCCACAACTGGTGGGCAGAGTCATGACATTACCAGTATTGTTGCGGAGACATCCCCAAGACATTGAACTCCTCCACGTATTGCTTCTCTCCATTTCTGTCTGTAGAGGCAGCCAGGTTGGGTCTTTTCTCCTCTCCCCCCTCCTTTAATTTTGATTTCTCTACCTCCGTAATGAGTTCCACTCATTACTGGGGAATAAACCTTCCTTTAATATGTAATAATAATAACAATAATAATAATAATAATAATTCTATCTTATTAAAAATATTTAGTGATTCCTCATCATCTATAAAATAAAGTTCACACTGTTTTTCCTATGTTTAAGGCTTTTGGTTATTTGGAGTCTACCTGTTTTTCTACCCTTGTAATCCACTACTTCCCTCCATCTAGTCTATATTTCCACTGCATTAGACAAATTCCCCTTGCATAGTCTCAACTTTTTCTTTCTAGGCCATCCTATCCTAACTCAGGTGGAAATTTTTCCTCCTCCTATTCCATGTCTCTCACAGATTATTCTGACTCTCAGGACACTCTCACCCTATAGTGTACACTTTATAACTCTTTAAGTATGTGTCTTCTTTTCCCCAAAATGCTGTCAGGTCCAGTTGTGTATTACTAATACAGAGTCATGTCTGCATGCAACATGCAGCAATATTTGTTGAGTAATGGTTCTGATGGGGAAAATCTCATATAGCTTGAAGTGTTTATTGTTGGAAACAAAATGTGACACCTCCCCAACCCCTTCATAGTAATTGTTGAAGATAATATATTAAATAGTTGTTTGAAAGTATGTGATCATCAAGAGATGTTAGTACCATCTTATAAAGAACCTTGTTTCTTTTTAAAGGCCATCTTCCCAAGGATTACAAAATCTATGATGGGGTGACATCAAATCCCCAAAATGGACCAGAGTGGATAATGCAAGGATATTTTTACATTTGGTTCTTTGTCATTAGAGATGATGAAATAGTGAACTACTGAGTAAATGAGGCAAAATGCAAAAAAAAAAATATATATATATATATATATAGGTTAAGGAAAGAGATGATGAATGTGTTGTATTTCAGTGAAAATTATTATTCTATAAACTATTTAGTTCTGGTGAAGAAAATGTTTCTCTAGCTATATTAACTTATATTATTATTTTCAGGTCTTACAGAACTTAAACTTTTAGCATGCAATTATACAAAGCTTATTTTATTTCTATAGTGGATGTACATTGTACAAATTGTATAATACTGCCAATTAAAATTTTCTTGAAGTCAATGTGTTATTTGTTCTCAGTGCTTAAATATATCCAATTAAACAGGATTTCCATATATTTGGAAAAGCAATACTAGTGTTCTCTCTGTAGTGTAATAACAATCCTTCCCTATTTGTTGTAATACTGTGTTTTACAGTGAAGTTTTCTTCCTTTTGAAACATCTGAACTTTGAGATTGCTTTCATTATAGAGTTGTAGACATAAAAATGATTTTTCCTGGTGTCTATTTTGACATTTACATCATATTCTATACAATTCCCTAATGAATACATATTTTGAGCCTTGAATTTGCTACTATGGCTGACAGGTGAGAAATGTGACCACATTTTTTCTAAATCTCAGAAAGTTCTGTTGCCAAAGCACACTGCCAAGTGAGCACTTGACCTTCAAAGCAGACACATGTGTACATGACATTATGAGTAAATGTAAACCATTCATCCTATCTGTAAATCATCTGGGACTATACCTGAATTCTAGGCTCACATCCATCCCCAGAGGGAAAAAAAATTATGTGCATTGTTTTTTAGGCAAAGCAGGCCAAAACAATGACTGAAGCAAAACTGGATATAACCATTGAATCTGGTCTCTTTCTGTGATGTTTATCATAGAAGTAGATAGCTCTTCTCAATGAATGGATCCAAAGGATTTAAATGCTCTCTAAGTAATGTGATTTGGAGAGGGGGATATGGAAATCCACTTCCTGTCCTGTAATTCTTAGCCTGACACAGCATCTGTTCCTCACAGCTGGCGTGTAGAGGTGGAAGACCACAATAGAGAAGTTTTCCTTGACTTGCCCCTAAACCCTTAACAGATTGAAGCAGTAAGGTGCAGGGTTTCAGGCTCATCTGAAGGTGTCCTACAAAGCCTCAGTTTGCCATCTACAGATACTTAGAATCCAGTCCTTTCCTCCTAGTTTAGAGCTTTCCTGCCCTTGGTGGTGTGTGTGTGTGTGTGTGTGTGTGTGTGTGTGTGTGTGTGTAGTCCCAGCAGATCTCAAATACTTCTTCTTTTTGTAACTTTCATACTTAAAATAGTCTCCAATGCCCACATCAGAATATAATAAGTGGGGTAGGAGGAATCTTCAACAGGGTTAGAGATAGAGGTTTCTCTTTGTTTGTTTGCTTAATGTTGCAGCAATTTTAAAAGGGGCTTTTCCAATGAGAACTGGATTCAGCTTTAGTGATCATCTGTATTAAGGTGCACTGGTCTAAATTCACTTTGTGTTAATTTGTATCTTTTTATATCCTTCTTAGGATAGCACTTCCTTTTTTAACATATCAATATTTTATTGTCATACAATACATATGTCTCCTTTTTTTCCAGTTGAGCTCCCCCCAGCACATGCCCTCACCCCCCAGTGTCTGTGTCCATTTGTTATGCTTATATGCATGCTTACAAGACCTTTGGTTGATCTCTTACCCCCACACACACCCTCCCCTGCCTTCCTTATGAGGTTAGATGGTCTGTTCAATGCTTCTTTGTCTTTGTATCTATTTTTGTTCATCAGTTTATGTTGTTCATCTATTCCACATGTGAGTGAGATCATGTGATATTTATCTTTGACTTGCTTATTTCACTCAGCATAATGCTCTCCAGTTCCATCCATGCTGTTGCAAATGGTAAGAATCTCCTCTTTTTTACCGCAGTGTAGTATTTCATTGTGTAGATGTACCACAGTTTTCTAATCCACTCATCTGCAGATGGGCACTTAGGCTGTTTCCAAAACTTAGCTATTGTAAATTGTGCTACTATGAACATAGGGGTACATATATTCTTTCTGATTGTGTTTCTGTTTTTTGGGACATATTCCTAAAAGTGGAATCACTGAGTCAAATGGGAGTTTAATTTCTAGTTTTTTGAGGAAACTCCATACTGTTCTCCAGTGGCTGCACCAGTCTGCATTCCCACCAGAAGTGCACAAGGGTTTCTTTTTCTCCACATCTTCCCAACACTTGTCATTTGTTGATTTGTTGATGATAGACATTCTGACAGGTGTGAGATGGTACCCCATTGTTGTATTGATTTGCATCTTTCAGATAATTAGTGACTTCTAGCATGTTTTCATATGTCTCTTGGCCTTCTGTATATCCTCTTTTGAAAAATGTCTATTTAGGTCCTTTGCCTATTTTTTGATTGGATTGTTTACCTTCCATATGTTAAGTTATATATGTTCCCTGAAGATTTTGGAGATTAAACCCTTGTGAGAGATAAACATTGGCAAATATGTTCTCCCATGCAGTGGGCTTTCTTGTTGTTTTGTTGATTATTTATTTTGCTGTGCAAAAGCTTTTTATTTTGATGTAGTCCCATTTGTTTATTTTCTCCTTAGGTTCCTTTGTCCTAGGAGCTATATTGGTAAAGATATTGCTATGACATATATCTGCTATTTTGGTGCCTTTGGCTTCTTCTAAGATTTTTATGGTTTCCCATCTTAAGTTTAAGTCTTTATCCATTTTGAGTTTATTTTTGTGTATGTTGTGAGTTGGTATTCTTTTTGTCAACATTCCTCGTTTTCTCTTAACCATGGTTCTAGGACATTGACTAGATAAGTCTTGATTCAAGATGAGTGGATAAAAGTGGAGTCACTAATGTTAGAGACAGTCTTTTTCCTCTAAAGTTTGGCTGCTACATAACAAGAGCCAAACCGAGCACCTGATGAGATCCTTGGGGACATGGACATTTCACAGTCAAAAATCACATATTCATTTCATCTTTGCAAGTGATATTCCACTGATTGTTACAGAGTTTGAATAGTTAATTGCTGAGGTAATGGGCCTGGGGCAAAACTGAGATATGATATGCAAAATATTGATCAAAGCTTACTTTTAGAAGCTGTCCTTGAAATGTTCAATCATCCCA